TGGCTAGCCCACATCCTAAAACTATATAGAGCCCCACCATGAGTCCCCTCATTAGCATAAACTGTATGTCCATTGTGAATAACAAGGATGTTATTGGTAAATTCCAAGGATTCAGAATCTCCCTCCCAGGAACCAAGGACAAAAGCTAGACAGATTATTATACAACACTCAGTTTTCCCTGTCCATCCCTATTTCCCTTAGTCATCTTTTGATGTCTTATTAGGGATCCCTTCTTGCTGTCCTCCAGTGAGTGACCAGCCTTGGGAGCTGTCTGCCTAGACACCACATATAAGCTGGGGCCTTAGGGTCCTTTCAGGAAAGAAGCCTTGAAATATTTCTGTTCCCTTCCTTCTTGGCACCTGCCTTAGCACACTCTCTTGTGCTACTGTCATCAGCAGTGGTAAGGTGATTTTGATGAGGCGTGGTTACACAATAGGGTAAAAAGCTCTTTTTTATTTTCACATGGTACGAAGACACGATCACTGTGACTGGTACTCAGACACATCATAAATGCACAACTGGCCTGCTCCTTCTAGCCCACATTAGTCTGTCCATACACATGCACCTGTATCCTAGATGTGTCTACACAAACCAGAAGCCCCAATTCCATGCTCCACACTTGTTGAGCTGTTTGCCTGCTCACAGCTCACTCTGTGGGACTCTTCAGTAGAGGCATGCAGAATACTTTGGCAGGTAAACGTGGGAGTGGGGAGACCAATGAGGAATCTGATGCAGTCCTCCATGTGACATGTGACAATGGCTTGCACTAGGGTGTCACTCCCCACTCCCTCTCCCAGCTGTAGAGAACCACTAATCTATTTTCTGGCTCTATAGATTTGCCTCTTTTGGATATTTCATATAATAGAATGATATAATATGTGGTCAATTGTGACTGGCTTATTTTGCTTATATAATGTTTTCAAGGTTCCTTCATGTTGTAACATATTAATATATCAGTATTTCATTTTATTGCTGAATAATATTTCATTATATTGATATGCCAAATTTTATTTATCCATTCATCAGTTGATGGCTGTTTCTACTTTTTGGTTATTATAAGTCATGTTGCAGTGAACATTCATATATAAGCTTTTATATGGATGTATGTTTAATTTCTCTTGGGTACATACCTAGAGGTGGAATTGCTGGATATGGTGCTGTAGTTTTGATGTTTGACCCTCTCTAAACTTCATGTTGAAATTGGGAGGTGTTTGGGTAATGAGAACTGATCCCTCATGAATAGATTAATGTCCTCCCCGGGGGAGGGAGGGAGTGAGTTCTCACTCTGCTAGTTCCCCTAGAGCTCTTTTGTTAAAAAGAACCTGACACCTCCCTTCCTTCTCTTTTTTTTTTTTTTTGAGACAAGTTCGCTTGGTTCCAGGCAGAGTGAGTGCCGTGGCGTCAGCCTGGCTCACAGCAACCTCAATCTCCTGGGCTCAGCGATCCTACTGCCTCAGCCTCCCGAGTAGCTGGGACTACAGCTGCGCGCCACATGCCGCTAATTTTTGTATATATATTTTTAGTTGGCATTAATTTATTTCTATTTTTGGTAGAGATGGGGTCTCGCTCAGGCTGGTTTCGAACTCCTGACCTTGAGCAATCCGCCCGCCTCGGCCTCCCAGAGTGCTAGGATTACAGGCGTGAGCCACCACACCCGCCCCCTTCCTTCTCTTTTGCTTCCTCTTAACCATGAGGCCCCTGCATAAGCTCTCTCCCCTTCCGCATCCCCCAAGAGTGGAGGCTTCCTGATCCCCTCACTGAAAGCAGATGCTGGTGTGTGATGCTGCTTATGTGGCCTACAGAATTGTGAGCCAAATAAACCTCTTTTCTTTATAAATTACTCAGTCTCAGATATTCCTGTATAGCATCGCAAACAGACTACGACATATGACAACTCTGTTTAACACTTCCTGGAACTGCCAGACTGTTTTCCAAAGTGGTTGCAGCATTTCACATTCCGAGCAGCAGTGTGTGAGGGTTATAGTTTCTCACCAAACCTGTTATTCCATGTCTTTCTGTTTACAGCCATCCTAGTGGATATAAGTGGTTTCTCATTGTGGTTTTGATTTTCATTTCACTAATGGCTAGTGATACTGAGCCTATTTTCATGTGTTTATTAATTGCTTATATTTCTTATTTTTAAGAAGTGTCTACTCAAATCTTTTGCCCATTTTTAAATTTAGTTACTTGTACTTTTGTTTCTATTTTTTTTTTTTTTAAGACAGAGTCTTACTCTGTCACCCCAACTAGAGTGCAGTGATATCAGCCTAGCTTACAGCAACCTCAAACTCTTGGGTTTAAGAGATCCTCCTGGCCTGGCGAGGTGGCTCAGGCCTGTAATCCTAGCTCTCTGGGAGGCCGAGGTGGGCGGATCGCTCGAGGTCAGGAGTTCGAAACCAGCCTGAGCAAGAGCGAGACCCCGTCTCTACTATAAATAGAAAGAAATTAATTGGCCAACTAATATGTATAGAAAAAACTAGCTGGGCATGGTGGCGCATGCCTATAGTCCCAGCTACTGAGGCAGAAGGATTGCTTGAGCCCAGGAGTTTGAGGTTGCTGTGAGCTAGGCTGACGCCACAGCACTCACTCTAGCCTGGGCAACAAAGCGAGACTCTGTCTCAAAAAAAAAAAAAAGAGATATCCTCCTGCCTCAGCCTCCTGAGTAGCTGTGACTACAGGCATGAGCCACTATGCCCGGCTAATTTTTTCTATATATTTTTAGTTGGCCAATTAATTTCTTTCTCTTTTTAGTAGAGACGGGGTCTCGCTCTTGCTCAGGCTGGTTTCGAACTCCTGACGTGGAGCAATCCTCCTGCCTCAGCCTCCTGGAGGGCTAGGATTACAGGCATGAGCCACTGCACCCAGCCACGTGTACTTTTATTATTGTAGGAATTCTTTATACATTCTAGATACCAGTCTCTTATCAGATATATCATTTGCAAATATTTTCTCCCTTTCTTTGGGTTGTATTTTCACTTTCTTGGTTATATCATTTACACTACAAAAGTTTTTAATTTTGATGTAGTCCAATTTCTTTTTCCTTTATTTCTTGTCCTTTTGGTGTCATATCTAAGAAACTATTGACTAATACAAAGTCCTGGAGATTTCTTCCTATATTTTCTTCTAAGAGTTTTCCAGTTTCAGCTCTTAAATTTAGGTCTATAATCCATTTTGAGTTTATTTCTTTGTGTGGTGTAAGGAATGTGTCCAACTTCAGCTGTAGCCAGTTGTCCCAGTGCCATTTGTTGAAAAGACTATTCTTTCCTCCATGGATTTTTTTTTGTAAAATTTTCAATTTTTGATGGTCACACTGGGTCAAATGTAGACAATTTCATAGGTGCAATTTAGTTTTATTACAGTATTAATGTGAGTGAAGTAAGATGCGTTTTCTGATTTTGCCACCAGATAGCAGCAGTACCCCAGATTTTTATCCCACTCCAGGCTAAGCTGCTCCTAGAAGTGGGACCAGGTTTTAATCACCTGTCAAGTATCCTCCACAAGAGTCTTTCGCTGTCTTTCTCTGACCAGGTCCTGATAACCCCACCTGTTACCCCAGCGTTGTAAGTCTCCATCCTCTAGTTTTGTAGCTAGCTTGAGCCTGGATTTTTCTGTTGTTCGTAGAGGGGGAGGTCATGTTTTGGGTTCCTCTAGTGCATTTGAAATAGAAGTTAATTTATACATGCTTAGTTATAAAAGTACTACATGTTCATTATAAAAATGTGGAAAGTACAACGGTGTTCTCTACTATCAAAAAGCCTATCAAAAAGGAATATGGAGACTCAGACTTGTGGGGGTAGGGGGAGAAATGGGCATTTATTGAAACCTTAAAATCTGTACCCCCATAATATGCCGAAATAAAAAAAAAAAGGAAAAGAAAAAAGAAAACGAATATGCATGATTGCATAGCATTCTTTGCTCTTTGCTGATTTAATTTTTGGCTTAATGTAGTAAAAAGTTGCCATCTCTTTGTTAATCAGGCACACTGATAGTTATGTGTGATTTTTGACTAAATAAAAAGAAACTTATTATTTACTAAACAATGGAGGGGAAGTAAGGGTGATGGGTTGGGCACCTCTGCTACAAAGCCGCGTCTTACAATGTAAAGTATGGACGTGCCTGCTGAGGCTACTCCCTTCCTCCTCCATTGCTCTCGGTGAGAAGCTCTTCCAGGCCTCATTCCTTTTCTCCCTGTAGGATCCTCTGTGGCTCCATGGCCTGTCTGACATGTGCTGAGGGGTCCACAGGCCCCTCAGGTCTCTGACTCCTCCCCTGCCCCTGTACCTATAGGCCTCTGAACCCCTGCATCAGAGCTGCCTGTGCACTCCCTTCCCCAAGGCAAGCTGTCCAGACTGTGCTGGGAGGCTGGGGTGAGCCTGGGAAAGGGGGCAGCCAAGACAGCAGCCTTCCTGTGCAGAGAGCCGGGCAAGGGCCAGCTCTGACCGGGAGCTGTTCCCATCTGTCCCTCAGCAGCTTCAAGGGGCCAGCCAGGGGGAGGGCTCCCTACTTTGATGTGCACAAGAAGATCAGGGAGGAAGCAGGAGGTGAGGTCGGGGGAAAGCTGTGGACACCGGTGGTCTCCTCTCCCATCACAGGCCAGTCTTTGTCACCCCTTTCTTCTCTGTTCTCCAGGGCCCGGTCTTGCCTGGCCCAGCCTCTGGGCTGCGCCAGGTGGACGGCCTGGGGTTCCTCATCCCAAACCTCCAGCTTGTGTCCTTAGTGGTTCATGGTGGCCAGACACCACCTGCTTCATTTGTAGTTGGGGTTTGTTTTGTTTTGTTTTTGAGATGGGTTCTTGCTCTGTCTCCCAGGCTGGAATGTAGTGGTACAACATAGCTCACTGCAGTCTCAGAGCTCCTGTGCTTAAGTGATCCTCCTGCTTCAGCCTCCCGAGTAGCTGGGACTACAGGTGTGCACCATTATGTGTGGCTAATTTTAAAATTTTTTGTAGAGATAGGTTTTGCTGTGTTACTCAGGCTGTCTCAAACTAGTTTCAAGTGATCCTCATACCTCAGCCTCCCAAAGTGCTGGGATTACAGGCGTGAGCCACTGCACCCAACCTGTAGTTGGTTTTAAGGGGCATGTGTTAATCACTTCATGCATGAAACATCCAATTTGGAGAGTCAGAGACAAAAATTTCCCTCTTGGGATCAGATGATCCCAATACTGAGAGGGACCTCAGAGGTCATGGAGTGCCACCCACCTAGATGCCAGGGTCCTTCAGCTCTGCTCTGACAGGCAGCTGCCAAGCCTGGTCTTATAGACTCACAGCTGCAAAAAACTGGCCAACTACTGAGGGTTCCTACCTTCACTGTAGGGAAGAGATGAGAGGAGCAGACAGGGAAGACAGAAGGAGGCCATGGCTCTCCTGAGCTCCTTGTAGTCCTCCAAGTCTCTCACGTGCACACACAGGGGCCTCTCCAATGCCAGGCCTGAAAGGCTGCCAGCTCATCCAGGCCCAGCTGGGGAATCTGGCCTTTTTCCGGTCTAAAGTTACAGAATTTTCCAAAAGTTTCCCTGGGTTTTTTTCTGGACTTATAAACCAGATTTCCCATGTCCCCCACAAGAGAAAGAAAGCAGGAAGGGCCTGTGATCCCAGCCAAGACTTGCTTCTGCCTTTCCTTCCTGCTTTTCCTTCCCACACAAGACCCAGGAACCAATAGTAACAGTAATTTCAATATTCAGCCTTTGTTGCCCATGCAGAGCCTCTTAAATGGATTAGCTTAGCTTATGTGAAGCTCCTAGTGATAGCTTTGTGGGCAATATACCATTCTTTCTAATTTTCATTTCCATTTTACAGTCCAGAGGGGTCAATTGATTTCTTGAGGTCACAGCAGAAGTAGGTTTTGACCCAAGTTTTTCTAACTTTGGAGCCCTTGCTCTTAACCTGTGTTTCCCCAAGAGGTCCCAGTTTTCCTCTCCTCATTCTTCCCAGGTCCAAACTGTAGGTGGGCAGCCTGAAAAGAGGGGTGTGTTGTGTGCTTGGAACAGGAAGGAGCATCTTGTCATGGCAGGACGAGTCAAGTAGCTTCTGTTTTTATTCTGCCGCTGGGCAGCTGTGTTGCAATCTCTCTGGATCTCCGTGTCCTTGCCTGTAATCTGAGTGGATGAGACAAGTCTATGTTCTCAGTCTCTAGGTAAGATAATCTCTGAGACCCTTTCTAGTTCCAGGACCCTGGGTCTGAGTAGGCTGAGATTACTTATTTGGGAGAGATAACATATTCAGCCCCTTGCTTGGAACCCACAAATTCAGCATCTCAGAGAAGGGCAGTGTCGTGACTCAATATTTGGATTCAACTTAGGAATCCTGACTGCCCTTGGAGGTGAAGCCTCTACAAGGGACCTGGCTGTGGGGCCCTGACCCTTCTGCCCAGCGCCTGTGAATGGCCGCAGTGTGCAGTGATGGTGTTGGCAGGGTTGGTTTCTCCTGACGCCTCCCTCCTTGGCTTGTAGATGAGTTTAGGGAGACAGCTCAGTACACAGCACAGCAGCCATTGCTGAGGGGGATACTTTAGTGCCACAAAGAGCAGCTTACATTGAGCACTTCCAGTGAGCCAGGCATGGCGCTGTGCGCTCTACCTCTGCAACCTCAGGAAGCCCCTGCACTGGTTCCATGAAGGAGCTATTTTAGAGATGAGGAAGTCAAGCTGTGCCAGTTGCCTGCGGACATGCGGCTGGAAAGTGAGGAGCAGATGTGCACACAGCCTTACCCACCGTGCCGTGGTGCCGCCTAAGGAGAGAGGAGGCAGGGCTCAGGGCCCGTTAGTCTGTTTTTCCGGAGTCCTGACAGGCATGAGGAACAGCCCTTTCTATGCTATTGGGACTACAGTTTGGGAGAGACACAGGAAAGGAAAAGCAAAGAAACAGGATCCACATGTCCCCATTACATGTGAAGACTGGAGTTCCAAGCTGGACACGTAGTGGCCTTGACTTGGGAGTTGCCAGTGGCCAGTGCCTGAATGTGGGGAGCCTCCCAGGCTGGCTTAGGAGTTGCCCTGAGGATGGGGGAAGGTGGACACAGGCGTTCCCCGAGCTGGGCTGTCCACCAAAGATGGAGCTAAAGACCAAGGACTCGGGGAGTGAATGACCTGGCAAACACCCCCAGCCAAGGCCCCTGGAAGGTGCCAGGGAAGGCACAGCATCGTCAGTGGCTTCTCAGGACCCTGTGACAGCTCCTGAAGGGCCATCAATTCTTGAGGAGTGTGGGGTAGTTTGAAGGTACTGGCATGCAGCCAGGGCTCTTCAGTTCTTTGTTTGGGGGCCAGAAGCCCAGGATCCTGGGGCTAAGGGAACCCCCCCAGATCCCTAAAATGGGGGTCTGGGGTAGGGAAGGGTGGGGTCGTCATGTCAAAAGTTCTTTTCTACTCATCCTCCTAAGCACCAGCGTCACTCATCCTGGGCGATTTAGCTGCCATTAGCAGCTGCTGTTTGGTGCGGAGCAAAGGGAAGGGAAGGTCAGGGTAGGAAGGAGAGCAGAGGGGACACCATGGGCTTTGTTCCCCAATGCCCACTCCTGGGGGGGGGGCAGGGACGGCAGGGGCCCCACACCCTGTCTGGCAGGCAGTCCTGTGTCTGAGGCAGGGGATCAAGTTGTCCTCACCTCCCCTAGCATGAGCGAGGCCTGGGGAGCTGTGACAAGAGCTGTCAGTGCTGGTGTCCTCTCGCAGCAATTGCTGCAAAGGCCAGCAGCTCCAGAGTTCTGGGAAAGACTGGACAAGAGAGCAGGGTCTAGGGCCGCTGTGGGGAGTGGGGCAGATGGGAATGGGACACCTTGGCGTGCACCTGATCAGTGGTGGTCACACACTGCCTCCTGTTGGAGGGGCTCTGTCCCCGTGCTGTTTCCCTGGCCCAGATGCTGTGCAACTCGGGGGCCAGGGCCACACTGAGCAGCACACCGTGTGTTGGCCTCCAGCACCTGCTCAGGGCCAGGTACTAGGTGCCCCAGAAAGCTCATCCTGGAGGGGGTGGAACTTCAAGGTGAAGCACGTGACACACATATCTTGGCATTGGTCTGCTGCCTGCTCTCCTGTCTTCTATAGCTGGGCCCCAGAGAAACAGAAAGCACCTTAGACCTGGCCTTCCCTGGCCCCCAAGTCCTCCTGGGCCATATGGCCTGGAAACCCTATCCAAGCGGGGCCCTTACTGGGGCTGAGTTTCTGTCTGGCAAGGAAGTTCTGGAGACCAGGATTCTAGACTCTGGATGCCTGCTCAGCTCACTCTAAAACCCTTAGGTCAGGTAACTGCAGTGGCATGGTGGGGCCCGGTGACAGCTGTGGCACCTGCGAACAGCCGTCTCTCCCAGGCGTGCTGACTTGTTAGCTGTATGTGGGCACTATCTATCTCAGCAGTAAAACACCACTTCTGGAACTGTTCTCTGCTTCCTCTAATTGCCTCATTATTTTCTAAAGAAAAGCCCCCATCACCAGTTCACCACTCCTGCCCCTTCCCTCAGGCCTGTCCTGAAATCAGTCAACTGGGCTCCAGGCCAGGCTTGGGATGCTGTGGAAGGGGCATCCCTTGAAAAGGGTGAAGCTCCATGTGCACCTGGCAGCTGGAGCTCAGGGTCCTGTAAGTGCCTCGGAGAACTCAGGGTGTCCCTTGGGATTCAGCGAAACTTGGACATCTCCTCCTGTCAGTGCCCAACATGGTCTGAAACTAGGGGGACATAAAAGGAGCAGAAAATACAGTTCCTGCACCCAACGGCCTACAGACTAGTTGGAAAGACAAAAAAGGGAGAACCGATCAGGTGGGTGTGGCCTACAATGCTGGCTGCATCCCATGTGTCACCCACTGTCCTGTCAGCCTACCCCTGTGAGCTCCGGCACAGTGCTGGGCAGGATGGGTGCCAAGATGGAGCCACAGCCCTTCCTGTAGCACCTGACAAGCGAGTCCGTGCTTCAGCCACGTCATAGGAGAGGCACGAGGGCTAGGAGACCACTAAGGAAGTGCAGACACAGGCTGGGGGTGAGGGACTTAAGGGAGGTGTAAAAGTGTCCAGGTGGAGAGAAGGGCAAGGTGCCCCAGAAGAAAGGGCAGCATGGTCTACAGATGGGTCTGCAAGTAGATTGGTGTTCCTGCAGTGTGGAGTCAGGGCAGGGACACAGCAGGAGAGGCAGGAAGGACCTGGCAGGCCAGGCTGGGGAGCTTAGACTCTGACCTGCAGGGGAGGGAGTGCGAGAGGGCAAAGGTCAGGGAGGGGAGGGGCCAGAGCAGGCGGATGGGGGTCAGAGCTGTGGGACACTGGAGGCCTTAGTCCCCTTGATAAAGCTCTCAGCTGGTGGCTAAAGAACCAGTCTTCAAGCAGCAGGCACGTTACCTCTGTCAGAACACCCAGATCTTCCCATCTTCTGTCTTCTTGACTCCAAGGCCTCCACTGAGCCCAGCCGTGTCCCATGCAGGCCTGGAAGGAGCCTGGGAGGGCCTGTTTGGCTGGTAAGTCTTAGGGTCCTTCTTGTTTTCTCAAGGGCTCCTTGTTCCTGGCATCCACAGACAGCTTCCCCACTTGCCCAAGTCCAGTGTGGGTGGACCGCTCCCAGGCCCAGGGCCTTCTGGTCTGGCAGAGTGGAGGGGAGGGCTATGAGCTGCTTCCAGGGTTCCAGCTGGAAAGATGGGAGGGGAAGACACACTCCTCAGTCCCCACCCAGTATCGACTGAGGTCAAGAATTCTAACAGAGCCCAGCTCCAAATATGACAGTCTGCCCGGCATCCCTGTCGTCTGCCTCTGTTGTGTTTCCGCCCTGGGCTCTCTATCTGTCTTGGTCTCTGTCTTGCAGCATTCCTAGGTGTTCGACCTGTCACCCTACTACAGTTCCCTAGCTAGTGCCTTTGCTTTCTGTTTAGATTTTTCTCTTGTCCCCTTTCTTGAGGTTGTTCTTGTCCTGCCCTCCTCCTTGCTCTCTCCCACGCCCTGGCAGCCATCTCCAGTCTCCTTCCTGTTCATCTCGCTTCTCCAGGTGTCAGCTCCACCCCAGCCTGTCTCCAGCCTTCCTGTATAGGAGAGCCCATCTCAAGTGAGGCACAGTGGCCTTGCCATGCAGGGGTATCCCTGAGCTCCCACAAGACCTGTGTAGGAGGAGAGGAGAGATGGCAGATGAGGAGTGGGTGGCCAGGGCCACCAGGGAACTGGGGGGGCTTTCCCAGCCCACCTAGTCCAGGCCCAGAGACACCCTTCTCGGAACCTGCGGCAGGGATGGTGGTCTTTCCTCAGGCATCCCACAGCTGGGGTTCTGGGGGACACCCTGTGCTGTAGCCACTGATGGTCTCCACCCACTCCCCCACCACTTAAACAAGCCAAGCCAGCTCTGCAAATGGTTTACAACTGGTCCCCCAACCTCCCTTCGACCAGCTTTGCCTCCCGCAGAGAAACTCTAAGCCCCAGTGCTTATATTGGCACAGGCCCTCTCCTGAGCCCCAAAGCGACCAGGCAGTGCCCTTCTGTCATGGGGGCGTGGGGTGAGCAATGGAGGGATGGGGTGAGACATTTCTGTACCTGGGGCCCTGGGGAATGAGCCTAAGGCATGATGTTAAGGTTGAGACCCTGTGGTGGCTCTTAGATTGGCAGAAAGAGTGAAAAAAGGAAGGGGTGAATGCAGACATGGTCACCCACGTAAACACTCGGCACTCCTGCTCCCCGGTGAGGGCCTGGCAGTCTGCCCTGGAAGGCTGGTGAGTCCCTTCACTCTCTTGTCCCTCAGCCAGGTCCCCACTTTGCTTTCTCTCTTGTCCCCTAGGGGAGCAGCCTTCTTCCCCAGGCAAGGCCTCCACTGTGGCTTCTCTGCACCGCCACCTCTTCGTGTGGTCCACTTCACTTAAGCATCTTGGCAACCTTCCTTTACAGAGGACGAAACAGGAATCAGAGAGGTGAAAAGCCAGCCCAGAACACAGCAAATTGCTGCCTTCCTTCCTCCCCAGGACTGCCTGAAGTGGTCAGTGCTGATTTCCAAGTACAAGTTGTGCTACAGCATTGTAACAAAATGCCAAGTTTAGCAAACATCTCAGGGTAGGACTTGCCAGGGGGAGTGTGGGTGGGTGTGTCCAGGAGCTCACCTGTCTGCCGTGGGACCACTTGTTCTCCCTCCCAGACTCCAAGCTGAGGGCAGGCTGTGGGTGAGGTGGGGTGGGGTGGAGGGAGACTGGGTTTAGCCACTCCGGTGCGGCGCTCACCGGCCGCTAAGCCTTGCCCACGGCGGCACTCGCAGTCGCATGGTGGCGTGTGCTGCGCATTGACGGCGCGTCCGTTCTGCTCTTGTGTGATGAGGAAAGCTTTCAAGCACTGGAAGCTTGTTTTCCTTTACAGGCAGCTTTACTTGTCATGTAAATCAGAATAGGTAACATATACATATATGTTTTTATGATGTTATTTTTAAATGTTCACAATTTTATTTTGATAAATGAAAAATTAGAAAAGTCATATCATGGCTGTCGGCTAACGTCGCTGTGCTCTGCTTGTTCATCTGGCTGTCGGCTATCGTTGACGCTCCTACCAAAGTGGCTAATGAGATGACTGCCAGTTGTAAATGAAACAGAAGGGGGAGCAGCTTGTGTGAACTTTGACCCCTGCTGTCCAACTTGTCTTTCATCAGGAGCTTTATGAACAGCCCCCTGGCTCCTAAGGCACCCACTGCAGCCAGGGGGAGGCTCGGCCTGGGTGCTCGGGCCCAGAGTGGGAAGGAGGAGGCCCAGAGACGGAAGCCAGCTAGGGTTCCTCAGAGCCCTCATCTCCGTTGTCCCTCACAGGAGTTCTGGAAAGCAAATGGGTGGCGCTGCATTTGAGAGGCATTGCTTACTGCTGTGGAGTGCAGACCTGGAGGCTCTAGGAAGGCACATTCCCAGCCCCATTCCTGGCATTTCTGGTTCAATAGGTCTGGGTTGAGGCTTAAATATTTGGAATATTAAAAAGCTCCCAAGGTGATTCTTAAAATCGGTCAAGTTTAGGAAATGCTGTCTTGGAGCACAAGGTGATGCCACTGGCAGCAGAATCATCCGTTAGCTAGGGGTGCAAACTCGAGTTCTCAGGGGTAACCATTGTTCCGTCACTGAGCGCCCTGCGTGCTGGGCGTCTCGCTGAGACATTACCCCGCTGGCCCTCCCCATGATCCGCAAGATGGGTGCCTTATATACATGTCACAAGCGAGCTGAGGTTAAATAACTCCCCTAGGGGAGGCAGAACTCAGACTTGACAGTGGTTCCATCTAACTCCAAAAGTTCTATTGTCAAGCAAATATTAATGCATTGGCTTTATGAACCTTATGTAAAGGTATCCAGTTTGTAGGAACCAAGAAATCATTGTGTCATTTCATTCTAGTCTAGGGCCAGTTTTGGACATCATGATTAAAGACAGCCCTACAGGGCCAGAGACACCTGACTGTGTGGTTCAAGATTGCATCCCCAGCACAGGCCTGGTATACCATATAGGAAGTGCTTGATAAATGCTTGTCAAATGGGTAGTAAATACTGTTGGAAAGAACAAAATAAGGCCAGCAAACATGTAAAAAAAATGCTCAACATCCCTAATCATTAGAGAAATGCAAATCAGAACCACAATGAGATACCACCTAACCCCAGTGAGATTGGCCTCTATCAAAAAATCCCAAAACAACAAATGCTGGGAGGTTGCGGAGAGACAGGAACACTCTCACACTGCTGGTGGGTCTGCAAATTAGTGCAACCTTTGTGGAAAAGAATCTAGAGATACCTCAAAGAGCAAAAAATAGAAATATCATTCTATCCAGCAGTTGGAAAAGAATCTAGAGATACCTCAAAGAGCTAAAAATAGAAATACCATTCGATCCAGCAATAGCACTATTAGGCATCTACCCCAAAGAGCAAAAAACATTCTGTAATAAAGACATCTGCACCCGAATGTTTATGGCTGCACAATTCACTATTGCAAGGATGTGGAAACAACCTAAGTGCCTGTCAAGTCATGAGTGGATTATTAAAATTTGGTATATGTATACAATGGAATATTACTCAATTATAAGAAGTGACAGTGATCTAGCACCTCTTATATTTTCCTGGATTGAGCTTGAGCCCATTATCCAAAGTGAGGTATCACAAGATCGGAAGAATAGGCTCCACTTGTACTCGCCATCAAATTGGTGCTGACTGATTAACACTGTGGTGCTCACGTGGTAGTAATATTCTCCAGGGATGGGAGGGGGTCGGGTGGGATAAACACAAAACTAAAGGACACAGGGGAAGGGCATGCCTCTAACCCCCTAACCAAAATGTCTGTACCCTCATAATACCCTGAAATAATAATAAAGGAACAAAATAAAAAGGACCCCAGATACAAAGTCTAAGGTGACCCCATCTTCGTTGTACAGCTCTGCATGTGACAAAAGAGTTTTTCCTTTCTCTGTTGAGCAGAAGTGGATTTGGCTGCAAGTGGGTATGGTTCTGGGCACACAAGCCATGAGAGGCACAGCTCTGGGAATAGAGGGAGATGGCCCTTCCCCCTGCCCTGCCAACCTCCCGTTGCATCCACAGGGGTGGGTTTCGGTGGGGTCTGCCCCTTGAGCCCACTCTTCTGGTCTCAGGAGCTGCCCATGTCCAGAGGCCTGGGCAATGTGTTAGCAGCTTTAGCTTAACTATGCTGGTGCTTCATTCATTTAAAAAATTACTTATTGAAAAGAATGATTCATCAAGCACCTGCTCTGGCAGGCACTAGCAGTATAAAGTGGAAAAGACACAGTGTGTGGCACTGTGGGACAGGAGGCCTGAGTGCTGAAGGAAGGCTAGAGGAGTATACTGTGGAGAGATCAGACTTTTCAGCCTGGGAGGAGAAAGCTGAGGGTGGCAGGGGCTACAGAGGAATGTCACCTTTGCCTCTAAGTCAATCATATTGTGTAGGGGAGAGGCCAGGGCATCCCTCCGCTGAGGATGGATGGGATAGGAGATGAGGCCAGGCACTTCCAGGGAAGCTGCCTGAGATACTTCCTGCTGAGATACCAGCAGAACAGAAGGAAGGCTGTGGCCGAGGAGGTGGAGGTGAAGCTTTCCTATAGGCAGGATGGTGGCCACAGGGATCACCGGAGAGCTCTTCACCCCCAGCTAGCTGTGACCATTCGCTCTTTTGGAAAGGGGTTAAGTAAATGTACAGTATTGGATGCTTTTGAGAATGAAAGGTGACACTCAGTAATCACACAGGACAACAGTCTTAAACCAAGGCTGTCTGTCCACTGGCAACCAGGACTGTGTCCCCCTAATTTTTTTGGTCCCTTTAACATTGGGGTTGAGGCCCAGAGAGGCCAAGGGTCCCCACTCCTAGTTAACTCCTTGAGCAAGCAGCAACAGCAGGAAGTGGAGCAGCTGCCGTCCTCTGGGGAAGCCTGGCAGGGACTTGTCTGGGAGGGGGCAATTAGGGGAAGGGGCTGGGAAAAGCTTGAGCCTGGAAGCTCCAGGCTGGGCTCAGAGCTGCTGCCTGGGTGAGCTGCAGCTAACCCAACTCCACATAGCTTAGTGAACACACAGGGGCCAGGTGCAATGGCTCACACCTATAATCCCATCACTTTGCAGGCCATGGCAGGAGGATCGCCTAAGGGCAGGAGTTAGAGGCTGCAGTTAGCTATGATGATGTCACTGCACTCTAGCCCAGGGGAATAGAGCAAGACCCTGTCTCTTAAAAATAAATAAATAAGCAAAGAAATACACACAGAGGAAATGGAATCTAGCCTGAAGGTGAGGTAGATGGAGTCCAAGGGGATGTTCTCTGACCTTCCAGTCCCAGCCCCAGGTCAGTCTGAGGGCAGGGATTCTTTTCTGTGGTTTGGGTCTTTTGGAGACTCTTAGGAAAGCTACAGGCCTCCCTATTAGAAAATGTACACGTGTTCTTACAGTATTATTTTGCAATTTCAGATGTTCAATGGGCCCCAAGTTGGGAATCTCTAGCCTGGGAAATGAAGTTATCCGTTTCTCTCTCTCTCTCTTTTTAATAGCTTTATTGAGAACTCAAAATAACATATAATTCACCATTTTAAAGTGTGCAGTTCAGTGGTTTTTAGTATATTCACAGAATTTTGCAACAATTACCACAATCAATTTTAGAACATTTTTAACACCTCCAAAAGAAACCCCTTAGCTATCATCCCCAATTCCCCATTCTCTCCAGCCCTAGGAAACCACTAATCTACTTTTTATCTGGTCTATTCTGGATATTTCATATAAATGGAATCACACAGTATATGGCCCTTTTCGACTGGCTTCTTTCACTTAGCGTAATGTTTTCAAGGTTCATCTGTGTTATGGCATTGTCAGTACTTCGTTTTTCTTTAATGCTGAATAATATTCCATTGAATGGACATGCAAAATTTTGTTCATTCATTAGTTGGTGGACATTTGGGTTGTTCCTACTTTTTGGCTTTTTACAAATAATGCTGCTTTGAACATTCATGTACAAGTTTTTGTGTGAATATATGTTTTCGTTTCTCTTTGATGTATGTCTAGGAGTAGAATTGCTGGGTCATGCAGTAACTCCATGTTTTGCTTTTGAAAAATTGCCACATTGTTTTCCATAGGGCTGCACCGTTTGTAGTCTCACCAGCAGCATGCGAGGGTTTCAATTTCTCTCCGCATCCTTGCCAACACCTGTTATTATTTGTCTTTTTAAGATTCTAGACATCCTATTGGGTGTGAAATAGTATCTCATTGTGGTTTTGATTGGAATTTTCATGATTGCCAATGATGTTGAGAATCTTTTCATGTGTTTATTGGTCATTTGTATGTCCTCTTTGAAGAAATGTCTATTCAGATCCTTTGCTCATTTTAAAATTTGATTATTTGTCTTTTTATTATTGAGTTGTGAGATCTTTAGATGCAAGTTCTTTATCAGATATATGATTTGCAAAAATTTCTCCTCATTCTGTGGGTTGTATTTTCACTTTCCTGATGGCATTCTTTGAAGCCCAAAAGATTGTTAATTTTGATGATGTTCAGTTTATCTATTTTTGCTTTCATTGCTTGTGCTTTCAGTGTCATGTCTTAAAATATACTGTTTAACCCAATATCACAAAGATTTGTGTTTATGTTCTAAGAGTTTTATAGTTTTAGTTGTTATATTTAGGCCTTTGAGTTAATTTCTGTATATTGTGTGAGATAGGGATCTGACTTTATTTGTTTGCATGTGAATATCCAGTTCTGGCACCGTTTGTTGAAAAGTTCTTTTTGTCTTTATACCTTCTTTCTTCTCTTGTCTTGCCCATATCCCCACCTCAATGCATGAAATGTGGATTTATTGATTAGCCACATGACTTGGCCAAGTCATCCTGGTCTCAAAGTCCTAGTTTTCTCATCTCTAAAAATCTGTAAAATTAGCATTTCCACAACTCCTGTCCCAATAGATAGGCTGTGAGGAATGAACCAGATGACTGAGTGGCTAAAATTTTGTGAGCACATATTGTTAGGCACAACACCCTTTGCTTGATGAAATTGCAGGACCTGTGCTTTCTCTGTCATTTCTGCTCCTTAGAATTTGGTGTGTATACCCTTTAAATATGACCTCTTCCACTTCCAACTCCTTTGTACCCTTCCTCAACAATAGAACTTTCTTTGCCTTGAGTCATTCAGTGTTGGAGACTAAGACCCTCCACATTCCAACGACTTGTCCTGACTTGTCCTGACTTGTCCTACGCATAGGCCTCGCCCCAGAAAATAGCCTAAGACGAAAATAGCACCCAGCCCCCCAGCTATAGTTCCGAGAAGAATGCATTCCATGACATACTTGCTCCAGGGCATGCTACCTGCAATTGTTCCCAACTCCCTGCCAGGTTGGGGTTGAGTGATCCGTCACAAACAGCTTATGGTGCCATTGAGATGCTGATTGGGGCTGATTAGCCCACACCCAAGCCTCATCATCCCCCCACTCTATTTTTCTGTTTCTACTTCCTTGTTTTCTGTATATAAAACCTACTAAAAATCCAAGTAAAGTAGACCTTGACAACCCTTTGCTTGCTCTCGTTCCTTTCTCTTGCCCATCTCTTTCAGGCAAGGTCCCCCTTGATCCCTGAGAGTAACAGAAGGTCCCGCGGGCCAGGACAATTCAGGAATGGGGGCAGGCAGCTTTTTGCTTTTGTTTCTTTAATATCTCCAATGTGTTTGAACTGCTCTAGGTTCAGGGACACGTTCAGTGAATTGAAACATCTTTTCTATGATTTAGAAGACCTTCTATAAGTAAGAGGATTGTACTTTATTCAGAGGCGAGGAGATGTAAGTAGTACAGGCAGAGGCACCTACTCTGTGTAGTCTGGAGGTGAGTCTCAGAGATTCCTTGTGCTAGGATCCCTCAGTTCACCTTGGAGTACCTGGAGGACTTGTAGGAGGAAGGAAGACTCGTCCTTTGGAAAGGATCTCCTTTCAAAGTGTTAGGGACCGGCTTCCTGCACCCCGCCAGGCAGACGAACAAAGACACCAAGGATGCAATCACTCAAGAGGAGCTTTATTTTCTGGCTAGCCAGGGTCCAGGCCCTAGAGTGCCAGCGCAGTGGCCGCTCTTACAGGCAAGGACCCTGACCAAAGCTGGGGCTCCCCTTTTATCCCCCCTCCTTCTTGAACACCCGCGCTGCACAAGCTGATTGTGCGTGTTAGTCTTTAAAATGATTGGTGGACTGGTAGCCCGCTGGGGCAAAGGGGCCTTTCTCCCTTTATCTGGCACCGTACCTGTGCGTCTAGCTGCAAGCAAGCGATTCTCAGAAGCAGAAATATGCGTTTAGCCAATAGCTCTACCTTTGGGCCCCAAGCTAGCAGTTTCCAGGAGCCGATTACTCCTCCCCTGGGCCAATTTTCTGTTATCCGGGCTCGCACAAGTGAGCCAGCAGCTTTGGGCTGCAATCAGGCCCTTACAAAAGTAGAGAGCTGACCCTTATCTCCTGGCTTGCTTTGTCCCTTAGTTATCTATCAAAAGTGGAAATGATACCCCTTCAAGATCCTTCCCAAGGTGAAAGGCTGGTGGTTGTAGCTGAACTTGGCCTCTGTAGTGGTCTCCAGGTCATGGTGAAACTTGGGAGCAGAGCTACAGATAGCCCATGTGGTGTCTCCCTGTGAATTCCCCAAGGGTAACCCTCCCTGGTCACGTGTGGCCCTGCGCTGCATTCACCCCTCAAGCAGGGCCTTTGTGCAGGGCACAGCCTGCACAGCGTTAGTGGTTGCCCTACTTAGTGGACATGCTAGCCTTAAAACTTCCTGAGGTGTTTGAAAGCTCCCAGACTTATTAATTTCAGTCACAGCATCCGCTGCAGCAGACGCTGATAAGAGGGTAGAGAGAGTGTTTTATAGCTTGTGATCAATGAAGCTGCTTGAGGAGGAGGAACTCAAAAAAGGCCAAGAATAAGGATGTCTCTGAAGGACACACTGAACTCAGAGGAAAAGGTCGATTATGCCTAGAGTTTCCTGCCCTGCCCCACAGGGCAGTTGCATATCTCAACACTACAGTAGATGCAGGTGGGGCTGAGTCCCAGCTCAGGAATGGCAGGGTGGGTCTTGCCTGAAAAGGGCACTGAATGACCTGGCGAGGAGTGGACTGCATCATCCTTTCCTCATTTTTGTGTCATAGCCTCCTTATATGATTTGCCCCAAATGGTGACTAAATCCTGCCACTTTTGAGAAAGCACTCCATCAGCACACAATCACCTGCCACACTCCTAGCAGCTGGTTATGTCTCTTCCTACACTGATTCTCCCTCGCTGTCAATGTGTACAAGGTGATTCACCTCATCCAGAGATGCCACCCTCTGGTTCTCACCTCTGGCACACACCTTTTGGATGCAAGCTGCTCCATCAGCTTACTTGTTCCCACACTGCTTGCCAGGGCAGATTCTGTACCAGGCTCAGTGGGTGGCCTCTTTCTGGTCCTCTCTGTGGCAGACAGCCTCTAAGATGACTCTCCCAGCCCCCACCTCCTGTTATCCACAGCCTGTGTAGTCCCCCCTCAAGTGTGAACAGGACTTGTGGCCTAACAAATAGAATATGACAAAGATGATGAGGATGTCACTCTTTGCTTCCATTATATCCGGAGGATTGTGACTTTCCACATACTAGCAGGCTCTCTGCTGCCTTCATGGTTTGCACACTTTGGCAAAGCAAATGGCCATGTAGGGAGGTCCACATGGCAAGGAACTGAGGCCACCTCAGTCTGACAGCCCTCAGAATGGGGTTCCTTGTTCCTGCCAACGATTACTTTGTGGAAGAAAATCCTTCCCCATTTGAGCCTCAGATGAGACCCCAACTTTGCCAGCAACTGATTGGAGCCTTGTGAGAAACCCTGAACCAGAGGACCCAATGAGGGCATGCCTAAATTCCTGACCCAGAGAAACCATGAGATAATAATAGTAATTTGTTGTGTAGCAGTGGATAGCTAGCACCTCATCACGTTGTTCCTTTCTGATGCTGGCTCGCTCTGTCAGAAAGGATGTCCTTCCCAGATAATGAGCATGTGCCCTTGTGCTAGCAGCTGTGATGATAGCTGTCAGCCACCATGTACAGATGCAGACAGCATGGCCTGGGAGCATCTTTCTGTCCCAGCTGAGCCACCCAGCCATTCTGGACAGTGTGGCCACCTGGGCAATCCTCACAACGGGGCAACACTTAGGAACTGACAGTTTGGCAGTGGGGATACAGTAAAGGGCAAGAGTAAAACCACAGCCCTTCGCTCCCCGCGTCCCTATGCACAGCAGGGACGTTTCATTCTTTGCTGGCCCTGCAGTCACTGGCAGGTAGATTTGCAGTTAGTAGTCACTTAATAAATGCTTGCTGATTCGGTTGATTTAATGATTCCTGAAGCTCAGATCGGGCTTGATGAAGGTGTTCCAGGCTCCATCAAGTCATCGATTATCTAAATTTCAGGATAGTTTATGTGGCATAAAGTATGGAGGTGACATTTTACATTTAAAGAGAGCTTATGGTGCTGAGGATGTAAAGGAAGGCATCTAAGCCTGAGAAGCCAGGTGGGCAATGGCCTGACTTGACTTAAGAACTTGCAAGGAAGAAACCTACCTTCTCTGTCTAAACTCTAATCAACCTGCACCTTGACCCTGAGCCCGAGGGAAACACCAGAACAGCTTTGAAGAGGAGACATCTTGCTGATGTTCCTGGGTTCCCAACTCTCCTGGAGGAAGAGATGCTGTTGGATTAGAGATCTCAGTTGTTGGGCTATACAAATCTAGTAAACTTTTACATTTCCTTTTTCAGAAACTAGAATTAGATGGAAGAAACTCCAGAAGCCCCAAAGCCCAACAATTCCATTGCACAGATAAAGAAACCAAGACCCACCCCAGGTCACACGGACAGTGGGTTGCACTGTCTAGAATCCAGTGTCCTTGCCATGTCACTCCCACGCCTCTCTGCCCCTCGAATGGGTGATTTATAAGCCTGGGAGCCAGGGTGTTTTGTGGCTGTGTGCTCCACAGCAGCCAGGGGCTTCCCACATGCTGGGGTAAAGCACAGCTGAGAACAGACATGGGAGTGCCTGGGCAGTGGCCCATCTTTCTGCCTTCCCTTGAGGCTCTGAGAGTGGGGAGTTCATCAGCAGCACGAGGCATCTTGTTCACATTTTCTCAGCTGGGAGGTCCTGGCAACAGCTCTTCATTTCCTGTAAGGGAATGAGTTTTTAATCTCTGAGCTCACCCTCCCTCTGGATTGGGTGGGGATTGGGGGAAGGAAAACTGAATCCCCAAAAACAGATCCCCTTTTCCCTGTCCTGGGTCCCTCCAAAGGGCTAGCAGTGTCCAGCAGTTGAGAGCAAGGGTCCTATCCATGCAGGCTCTGGGTAGAGAGCCAGGAGGCCAGCAGAGTGGGGCAGAGCAGGACCACCCCTCTGAGGCCCCACCAGCACAGTCCTAGGCACATAATAAAGAGCGTGTGTCTGTCTTCTTCTATTTAGAGCCAGCTGGAGGTGAAAAATAACGTCTGTCCTCCCCATGCCTCACGCTGCCTCTTCTGGACGCCCCCTTGAGCCCCAAGTCTGGATCCGGTGCCTTCCTGAGAGCGCCTGCAGCACCCCATGCTGCCCTGTCCCTGACCCTGTTGACGGGTACCTGCTGCCTCGTGTACATCTCCCACCAGGCAAATTCTGACAGGAGACCCCCCTGTGAGAAAGGAGAATGGTGGGGTTGGGCAGAGGGAGAAGCCGACCCCCCTGTGGTTGCAGCCGAGGCTTCATCTGGTCCCGTGAGGTGCCCAGGAGCTGGGATGGCCTTTTGGAACCATCCCACATTGTGGCAAGGAGGCCAGGCCGTTTCTTGTACCAGGCCACACCCTGGGAGAAAGCAGGACCTCGGGCAAGGCTGTTCCAGGGAGGGGCTGGTGCCAGCACCAGCAGCTGGCATCCGGTCCGGTAGCTGGGAGGTGGGTCTGTCTCCTGAAGAGGGAACCTGGGCAGAGTACTGCAGTGTCTGCCACAGACACCCTGAAGACAGAGACATTTTTGATTTCCATGGTAACACGTAGCATGTTACCTTACACTTAATAGGTATCCCTTAAATATTTGCATGTGTAAATGAAAGCATTTTGAGAGCCTTTTCTTCTCTGGCTAAAAATGACATATTCTTCAGTCATTCTTCAGGCAACATGGTTTTCTGTGTGTGCCTCATCCTGGCTTCTGTCTACTTTGAGCACAGTCACGTGCCACAGAATGACGTTTTGGTCAAAGATGGACTGCATATACGACAGCGGTCATAGAGCTGAAAAGTTCCCATTGCCTAGTGACGTTGCAGCCCTCATAATGGTGTGCTGCCATGCGTCAGCAGTGCTCATGTGCTGGTGTGGTGCTGTGCAGACAAACCTGCTGCAGTGCCAGTCACATGAAAGTCTAGCACATACGATTCTGTACAGTACACAATACTTGAAAATAAATAATTATGTTATTGGTTTATGTATTATCACACTATGCTTTTTGTCGTTATTTTAGAGTTTGTACTCCTTCTACTTGTTTTAAAAAAGTTAACTGTAAAATAGCCTCAGGCAGGTGCTTCAGGAGGAATCCAGAAGAAGGAACTGTTATCACAGGAGATGACCCCTGAAGACTTTTCCAGTGGGACAAGATGTGGAGGTGGAAGACAGTGATATTGATGATCCTGACCTTGTGTAGGCCCAGGCTATTGTGTGTGCATCTTAGCTTCTAGCAGAAAAGTTTAAAAAGTAAAAAAATAGTAAAAATTTTTAAAAATGGAAAAACTTATAGCATAAAGATATAAAAGAAAATATTTTTGCATAGCCATGCAATGTGTTTATGTTTTAAGCTAAGTATTATTACAAAAGAGTCAAAGTTTAAAAAATTTTTAAATTGCTAAAGTAAAAGGTTACAATAAGCTAAGATTATTATTGAAGAAAATTTTTAATGAGTTTAGGGTAGCCTAGGTGTACAATGATTATAAAGTCTACAGTAGTGCACAGTAATGTCCGGGGCCCTCATACTCACTTACCTCTCACTCACTGACTAACAGAGCAACTTCCAGTCCTGCTGTCAGGTTTGTCTGAAATGTTGGCTCTTGGCGTACCCATGGCTGAAGAATGACCAGACACGTCAAAGTTAAGTAAACACAAAAGTGGGGTTCATTGAGGAGAGAAAGATGGGATTATAGGGCAAGACCAAGATACAGGTTTATAGAGCATGATACATACGCCACAGACGACTGGGCCCATTGTCAAGCAAAGGGAGAGCAAAAGAAAGGCTGCAAAAAAAGGGACTTGGTTATGGTCTGCATCTTATTTTATAGTGCCCAGAGAGGGACCTCTATGGTGGCTCAGACATCACCATGGAACCACTTTGATTGAACAGTTGGGAGTCCCATGACCTGAGTCTTAACTACGCGGGCAGGTTGTTCTAGGTCAATTTCTGGACTCTATGGCACGTATGGCACTTGGTCCATGGACTAGAGAGTCCTCTGCATTCTTTTGCAGCTGGCGCACTGAGTGTTGATCAGCAGATTCGTAGAATATTCCCTCCTCCCCCAGTGGCTCAGGAGATTAGGGTGGGGCAGGACCAAGATGGGAGCCACAGCACCCACTTTTGTCCTTGGAAGACCTGGAATCCCTTGCTATCTACCTAACACTGCAAATTACATTCGTGGTAAGTGCCCTACCCAAGTGTACCTTTTATACCATATTTTTACTGTACCTTTTCTGTGTTTAGATACCTAATACTTGTCATTGTGTTACAGTTGCCTGCAATATTCAGCACTGTAACATGCCGTCCTGTCCAGGTTTGCAGCCTAAGAGCCATAGGCTACACTGTGTAGCCCAGGTGTGCAGTCGGCTATACCATCTAGGTTTGTGTAAGGACACTGTGCTGTCCACACAATGACGAAATAGCCCCGCAGTGCATTTCTCAGAACGTAGCTCTATCTTTACAGATGCACGACCATTTATTCCCCTTAAAGTGTGACACCAGAACTTATTGTAATATTCCTGTGTGGTCTTATGCACAGAACAGAGCTGTGCTATCACTCAGTATCATTCCTTAGTCTAGATACTGCTTTTCTGTAAAGTAACCTGAGATTTTTAGCAGCTGCAGAAAACCTGGACTCCTACTTTACCTATGGCTTAAATCCAGAGGTTTTTCCCCTAGATGTGTTCTACTGGCTTGCCCATCCCACTTTCATAAAGCTATGTGAGTGTGAGAGTGTGTGTGTGTGTGTGTGTGTGTGTGTGTGTGTGTGTGTGTGTGTGTGTGACAGAGAGGAGGGGGAGAGTGATATGTAAGTGCAGGACCTTGCATTTATTCTTACTAAGTCTTATTTAGACCTATCTGGCCTATAGGTCCAACCCACTGAGACCTGCATTTTCTTAACCGAGGAACTGTGAGCTCTGAGCCTCACACTGTCTCTGTTTCTCTCTCACTGAAATAGTTGATGTGTACTGTGCACCCAGCACGTGTCGGTCTTAATCTAATCACTGCATGGATTTTCCCCCTTTAATCCTCACAACAATCTGAGGTAGGCATTCTTATCAGCCCCATTTTACAGATGAAGACGCTGAAGATTAGAGAGATTAATTAATTTTCCCAAGGTTACAGGAGTTAAGTTGTGGCACAGGGATTTGAATCCAAGTCTTTCTGATGCCAGCACATGCTAACTACTGCAATATATAATATAATCTCTATGATTTTGTCCAAATGACTCATTAGAATGATGGAAAGGAGAGACCCAGGGACAATACTATTAGGGAGATAAACATGAAAAAGCATGTCAGAGTGAAAATCTCAATATGTGAGCATGTAAAGTGAGGTTACATCATCTATCCCAACTCTATCTTGCCACATACTCCAATTTGCAAGGGGCCCAGAAACCCCATGGAAAAGAACACATGTAATTTACATATGTGTGTGTATCCATCTGTAGATGAAGAAAGGCAAAATGGAACGTCTGAAAAAAAATTGCTCAAAGCAAAAATGTATCAGCCAGGGCCTATGCAATGTGCTTCCCTTTACCTGACAGCTCTTAACACTCCTCCCAGGCCCTATCCTCATATCCCTTTGCCTAGCAAATTCCTATCCATCCTTCAGTTTTAGCTTAAATACCACTCTCTCCAGGAAGCCTTCTCTGATTACCCAGTTAGGCCTAGTCACTGTATGTTCCTGGAGCACCTGTCACCTCCTTCTAAGTGCTTGGCATGCTTGTAGTGACTCAGTTTCTTGTCTGGCATCTGTTAGACTGTAAGTTCCATGAAGGCAAGGGGGGACCTTGTCTGTCCTGTTCTCCACCCTGACCTAACCTAGCCCCTGGCCTGGCCCAGAGGGCTCTTAAAAGATAATCAATGGATAGATTTTGAAAATAGAAGGTGGAGGCAGGAGGAAGGTAGCTCCCACATCTTTTCTAAGAAAGACAAGGAGAGGCTGGGTGCAGTGGCTCACACCTGTAATCCTAGCACTCTGGGAGGCCGAGGCAGGCAGATTGCTCGAGGTCAGGAGTTTGAAACCAGCCTGAGCAAGAGTGAGACCCCGTCTCTACTATAAAAATAGAAAGAAATTAATTAGCCAACTAATATATATAGAAAAAATTAGCCGGGCATGGTGGCGCATGCCTGTAGTCCCAGCTACTCGGGAGGCTGAGGCAGAAGGATTGCTTGACCCCAGGAGTTTGAGGTTGCTGTGAGCTAGGCTGATGCCACGGCACTCACTCTAGCCTGGGCAACAGAGTGAGACTCTGTCTCAAAAAAAAAAAAAAAAAGAAAGACAAGGAGCTGCCAGCTGCCCTTTCTATGCCATCTGTCCCCCTCTCCCCCATCCCATGCCTGGGCTTTGCCTGGTATCTGTACGGACTGGTTTTCACATAAACAGATGCTGACGGGAAGGTGAACCCCTAGTGCTCAGGTCAGCACCGGCCTGGGCATGGCCCTGCCTGTGGAAATGCCGTGGGCCTTCCTTCTGCTTGGGGGTAATGGGTTCTTTGTGCCTCAGGCCTTGCTAGCTTGGTCCTGTGGTGACTCTGAGATCTTTTTTGTCTGTCACAGCAAGTTGATGTTGGAAGGATTTTTTTAATGTCACCTGAATCGTGGCCATTTGAGCCAAAGACTTTGAAAACAAGAATGGGCTTTGGGGAAATGAAGGTTCTGGAAGTGACCAGCTGGACTAGCCTCGCCATGGGGGCTCCTCCCATAGGGTCGCAGCACCCAAGCCAAGGGCCACATCTCCTGGGTTCTCCTTCATCCCCCTTGAAGCATTTGAATTCTCCCAAGAGGAGGAAGCAAGAAGCTAGTTCCTGATTTATGCCCTCACAGGGCTCCTGGTGGCGACTTGTCTTTGCATTGCTCTTAGAGCCAGTGCCAGACATACGCCATCTCGTTTATCATTACAGCTCCATCTGAGATAGGACAAAGATTGCGGTTCCCATCCTAGCAATGAGAATACGAGGCCTAGGGAGGGTGTATGTCTTTGCTGGTGGCAAATCCTAGACTAGCATCTTGGCCTTTGATTTTGGTCTGTGCTGTTTCTGCCACACTGCTGCCAGCTCCAGGACGGCAGTGCCTGCTGCCCCAGGCCACAGGCTCCTGGGTGTGGATTTCCTTTGTGACCCAGATGAACTATGGAAGGAGGCAGAAGGGCCACTGGGCACATACCTGGTTTGAGGAACTGGCAGTTTCCTTCCTCTGCCATGTGAAAATTCTCCAAACATGGGGAGCCATCTGCTGATGATGTGAGAGTCAGGCAGCCTCCACCCTCATCGTTAGCTTGGCAGCAGTGGGGAGCGAGTCCAGAAAGAGCTCTGTGTGTCATAAAGAAAATTTAAGCCGTATGTGTCTCATTCATTTACTCTTAAGTCATCAAAATTCTGGTTTTACAGACGCTTTTGATGTCCAACTTGCTTTCTCCTTTTTTATGGGAGGGGGGAAAAGAGAGGAAGTCAGGATTCTCTAGCTATAAATTACCCAGTTTTAGGAAAGCTGTAGACAGATACAGTACCCCAATACTGGAAGACTGGAGGAAGTTCCAGGTAGGGGTCTGCTTTAGCAACACATACTGGGACATTTGTTCTCATTCAATAAAATGTACATTGAGCACTGAGTGACAGGCAGAGAACAGATACCAGGTAAGGGACTCATGATCCTCTTCTGTGAGTACCATCAGAAGGTCGGGGAGACATACATCTAAATAAATTACTGGGCCATTCATCTGTAGGTGACTCCAGTGCCCACAGTCACTTTCTAAAGCTGTAACCCTAAGCAGCAACACTGTGATTAAGAAACTTTGGCTTAGGGAGGTAAATGTGCTTGAGGTCACCTATGCAGCAGGTACAGTCCTGCAGCTGAGATTCGAATCTAGGCTGTCTTGCTCTAGATTTCATGCTCTTGTCTTTTACTGCCACTAGGAGGAGGTGGAGGTGGCCTGGGAGGAAGAGGAAGAACCTTCCAGGCAGAAGAAATGACTCCTGAGAAGGCCCCAAGAAGGAAGGGGCATGGTACGTGTAAGAGGGACAGAAAAGTCAGTGTGGTGGAGGACAGGGGCTGGGCCAAGGGGAGGCTGGGGAGGCTGGCAAGGACTGTGGTACCAAGGTAAGGATGTGATCTGTAACCTGAGTGGAGGGAAAATACAGGAAGACTTTCAAAACTCCAGGGGATTCTAATATGGATTCAGGGTTAAGAACCAGTGGGACAATGGTGGTGGCAGTTCAGCAGGAAAGTGGATGACTTGAGAAGTACCTAGACTTCAGTTTATAGGATTTGGCGTGATTGATTGTGTGGTAGGGAGGGAAAGGGGAGGCATTGAGAATGAAAGAGGACATAGCAAGTGACATTAATGGAGAGTCTCAGAGGAGGGATCCAGGGACCTCTGGTTTTTAGCAGATAACAGCTAAGCCGACACTCTTCTTAAGCACCCAAGCTTCTGTCTGAGTGTGCAAGTTCAGGTGTGCCCTGAAGCTTTTACAGGCTTTGAAGTCCAGATCACTTTTGTCTTGGTAACCAAAATGGCCAAATTAATATGTTCACAGCCCAACAAGACAAGTGTCACAGTACAGATATAAATACAACGTTAGAGTTGCTGAGACAGCTGAGTGACAAATTCTGCTGGGGAACGTCAGGGAGCACTCTACTGAGGAGGTGCCGTTTGAGTTGGCACTTAAAGGATAAGTAGAAGTTCTTGGATGAAAATAGAAGGGTGTCCTAAGCATGTGCCAGGGTGTTGGGTAGTGAAGGGCCTGTCAGGTCTGGGAAACAGTGGGAAGTTCAGAGTGGCACGACTAGGCATGTCAGGGAGGACGGTGGGGACTAGGCTGGCCAGAGCGCCGGGACCCGCTGGGAAGAGTGGTGGAAGCCAAGTGCAGACTTGCAGCTTCTCCTTGGTAACTTCACCCTCTAACGTACACTTCCCTCCTCACAGGACTTGGTCTCTTGCCTTTTGTTGGGGACCTCTGAACATAAAACAATCCTTGGAACCAACAGGCCCTTGGTAGTTCCTCTCATCCACTGCCTTGTCCTTAGGGAGTACTTGGTCTACATTGTTCTTGTCATAAGAGAAACTTTCCTGTGTTTGAAGCATATTAAAGAAGAAAATCCTACAACTTCACTGGGTCTGCCTTGCTTGGTCCAGGAGTCCTCATCCTAATTATTTTCCTCTACAGTTTCAGCTTATTTTTGTAGATTCTCAAAGGAATGGAAAGAGTCTCCCTTTGTTGCAATGAAAGATCCCCACATTCTTAGACAATTGCCAAAGAAAAACATTTATTGGACTTCTACTGTATGATAGGGTCTCTAAAGGTTGGTATATAAAAAATTAGAAGATCCATTCTTTGGCTGCAAGTTGATTATATATGGGCATAAGGAAATAAGAAAGAAAAGTACTAACACAAGACAATATATTCATATATATAGTAAGTATCAAATGGAATCTGCCTTGATTTTTCTGTGGCCGTGCTCCCATTGTTCCTGGTAGCTACATCACCTCTTAGAGAGCAGTCATTGCATGGTGTTGCAGTTGTCTGTATCATGTACTCCTTAAAGTCTGTACTCCTTAAGTAGCACTGTATCTTTTCCCTCTTTTTGTGAAGCCTTGATCTCTGCCTCAGTTTCTAGTTTGTAACAGGTGCTCAATAAATATGCAGTGGATTAATAAATGAATTGTAAAGATAATACATTTCTCTTAGAAGTTCAGAGGATATAGCACTTGGCCAGTGTGGTCAGGAAAAGTTTGACAAAGGCAGTGGAGCCTCTACTATATGCTTAACTTTTAGTGGTGGGAAATGAGAAGCAAAATAATGAGGTTAGAAAGTGGGAAGTTGGGTAGGAGAAAGGCCTCTCATAATCAAACTCCAGCTAATGTTTTCCAGGTGGTAGCCCATGGCCTCTGTTCTCTAACTTGAAACACAATGGATTCTGGAACAAATGGCCAATGAATTGCTTTAATTTGTGAGCAAGTGCTGAGCCACAGGGACCCCGGGTCCATACTGGGCATTATCTTCGGTGCAGGAGCAGCAGGTATTGCTGTGGTCTTTCTGGAGGCTCCTGGGATCCTACTGTCTCCACTAGAGGCTGTGCTCCCCACTTTCCCTCTTGCTCAAATTAAAACAGCTAATTTTAGACACTTCCTGATTACTCTTAGCTGGGTCTCATTAGCACATTTAAAACGTTTGGAACCTCAGCTGGAGAAGGACCAATTTTCATTGGTTCTGGTCTGTTTTCCATCTCCACATTGCTGTTGACGTTGGATGCCTTAAAGAAAAGCAAAATGAACTCCCTCCTCAGAGATTGGACCACAGGCTATTGGCCAAGTGCCTGAACCAGTGGGTGAGGGGTAAAGGAACACATGTCCAAAGGATTATGACCACCTCTGGTGGCAGGCACACGTTTTGCTCATAACACATCTCAAAAGTGCATAGGCATTCATTTATATATTCATTCAACATTTAATGACCACTTAGCATATACCAGGCTCTGAACCATCTCATGTCCTACTTACTATATTCCGGGTTATAGGGACACGAAGCATTTCATGAATGGTTCCTGCTGGCCAAGAACTCACAGTCAGTTGGGTGTGGTAGACAAGCACACGTGATCCATGTGCATGTATGCGAAGGGCACTGTGGTAGGACAGCAACAACAACAACGAATCTTTTTTTTTTTAATTTTTATTTAATTTATTTATTTATTTTAGACAGAGTGTCACTTGGTTGCCCAGGCTAGACTGAGTGCCATGGCATCAGCCTAGCTCACAGCAACCTCAATCTTCTGGGCTCAAGCAATCCTCCAGCCTCAGCCTCCCAAGTGGCTGGGACTACAGGCATGCGCCACCATGCCTGGCTGGTTTTTTCTATATATATTAGTTGGCCAATTCATTTCTTTCTATTTATAGTAGAGATGGGGTCTTGCTCTTTCTCAGGCTGGTTTCAAACTCCTGACCTCGAGCAATCGCCCACCTCAGCCTCCCAGAGTGCTAGGATTACAGGCGTGAGCCACCGCACCTGGCCAACAACCAGTCTTTATTGATGTTTTAAGTCCTAGGCTCTAAGGATTTTATGCAAGTTAATTCTCACAATAACCCTATGAGCATAGAGAAGAACCACCTAATTTAATGGGAAGAAGCAAAAAACAGACACATCAGGGAAGGGAGGGCATTCTAGGCAGACAGAATGGCGTATGTCAAGGTGTGGCAGCATCGTGTGCAAGTGGAGTTGCACACTTCTTTCTGCAGTTGTTTTTCTCTGTCCAGGAGGAAAAGAATCCTATAAGTATCTTGTACTTGGTAATGCCTGCTGACGGGAAGGTGGATTTCACACATCTCCAGGGCATTTTTATTTCATTGAAAACAATCTCCAGCTACAGTTCTGGTCTCCTGGTGGACTTGTACCTAGGACCATGGCTGGGAACCTGTTAACCCCAACCCTCATTGTCACCATTTTCCTCTTCCTTGCTCCTTTCTCTGCTCCCATAGATGACCCCAGTAGTGCTCTTACCGTTCGTCTAGAGCAGGCGTCCTCAAACTACAGCCCGTGGGCCATATGTGGGCATTTAAACCATAGTCCGGCCCTCCAGCGGTCTGAGGGACAGTGAACTGGCCCCCTGTTTAAAAAGTTTGAGGACCCCTGGTCTAGAGCATCCTAGGATGCTCTTTTGGCTTCACTAACATAGCTCACTTTCTATTGGAATGGATCGCTGGGGCTTCTCTCATCTCTCTTTTATGGTCCCAGGCATCTTGGGATTATTCTATATGGGATCCGTAGCTGAAAGATTTCTCCAACAAACGCAAGATGAAAGAAGCAGCACCAGCAGCAGCAGCAGCCAACAGTGTCCATCTACACATGGCCTGTGGTGGGCACACACAGAGTTCAATGCCCCCTTTTGTCTTACAATCTAATGCCAAAAATCAGGATTTATATGGGATCTAAACCAAAAACTTACATGATACTCAAATTTTAACATAGGACGTGTAGAAAATGGGGAATTGCCAACATGATTTGGACCACAGTGGAAATACTTCTGGAACAACTGAGAAAAGCATTCTTGGAAAGACATTAGGTTGCACTAGTGGCTTTGCCAATCCTGAGCATGAGAATCACATTGCTCTGTTCTTCACGGCCACTTTTCAAGGACTTGAAACTCCTTCTTGGGCTTAAGACCAAGGAAACATGGCCTTTTCCCTCTGTTCTACATGACCTTTATCTTAAATCATAGAAAGAGGTGTTTAAGCCCTGGCCTACAACAAGGGAGTCGGGGAGCCCTGAATCTGGCCTCAGAGAGGAAAGGACGGTGCCTCTTGAGGAAGCCAGCTTCTCTCCCACCTATGTCTTGGCCCCATAGGACAATCCCTTCCAGAGCACTCGAGGCCTAGAGTCTTTTTTAATGGGAACAAGAGACTCATAAATCCCAAAGCCAGACTCCCTTGGAAGCTCCTGGCTCAGCTCTTGCCTCCTGGGCTCCCTGCCATGAGGAGTGTCTCCCATACTGCTCTCCCTGTCTCTTAGCAGACTTCGCACGCTGACTTTTGGCTCTAGTGGGACAGCCTGTGCCCTGCTTGGCCCGAGGCCTGAGGCCTGCTTGGATCACTATGAACGAGCATCTCACAGCCCTCGATTTTTTCTGAAATTTGAAGTTGCTAGGTCCAGAGATGCTGACCTTTCATTTTGGGTACAGTCTGATAGGCTAGGTTTTGGAGAGGTCCCAGACAGCTATAAGTCTGATCAGTGGGGGTTCCTAGAGGGGCAAACCAGCCCCAACAGCAGGTACATCCATCCCTCCTGCAGCCCCATCCCAGGATGCTGAACCCTATCAACTCCAGCCCACTGTGCAGGAGTCTCTTGCTCTTCTACCCTGATGAGGGGCCTCCCAGCCCCTCCTCTCAGGCCTTCCTTTTCCAATCAGCATTGTCCTTCGTCTAGAGGTCTTGAGCAGAGATCTCCAGGTGCAGCCTGTTCTGGGCAAAAGAAGTCAAACCACACTGCCAGGCAGATCTGTCAGGAGAGCGTTAGGGTCTAATTAGGAGGGCCAGCTGGGCTCCTTCTTTAGTCCCCACTCCACCCCCCAGGCTGGCTTATAATTTGATTTCTTAAGATGGAACCAAGGGAAAGAAGGAAGGGGTGTGAGTGAACCACTAACTCCCATCTCCTCCCTGTGTCCTAAAAATCACCTTGCATCAAATCTTCTTTCTCCTTGAGTCCTGTGTTTGGATCCTTAACCACTCCGGTGCAGCACTCATGGCCGCAAAGCTGGGCCCACGGCGGCACTCATAGTCACACGGTGGCGTGGGCTGCGCATTGACAGCGCGTCCGTTCTGCTCTTGTGTGATGAGGAAAGCTTGAAAGCACTGAAAGCTTGTTTTCCTTTACAGGCAGCTTTGCTTGTAACGTAAACCAGAATGGCTAACATATACATATATGTTTTCATTACGTTATTTTTAAATGTTCACAATTTTACTTTGATAAATGAAAAATTAGAAAAGTCACATCACGGCTGTCGGCTAAAGTCGCTGTGCGCGTCGTTCATCTGTGGCTGTTGGCTATAGTCGACGCTGGTGCCGAAGTGGTTAAAGATCCTCAAGATCTGCAAGAAAAAGCTTCTGATGGAGCAAACTGATCCCTGGAACTTGTTAGAGGAAGGGAATTTCTTTCCTTTGTGTTAGAGCAGGGTCAGGCATCAGGCTGGGGCTGGAACTCAGACATCCCCTCTCCAGCCTCAGTTGGAAGTGACCAGGTAGAAATAACCTGGAGGGCGCCAGGAGTCGTGGTGCCTGGTCATGTTTGGGCCCTAACCTGCAGGGTGACCTTGGAAAAGGAGAACACTTCTGCTTTCAAGGCCATTCCAGATAAGCACTGCAGGAAAAGGAGTGATTATTACTAGCAGCCATTCACATCAGGGGTGGAGAGGTCTGATTTGGTGCCACTATAGTGTTTTGATTTAAACTCGGCAAATCCTGGGAAAGTATGTTGGCCCTGGGAGGCTACTGGCCGATGGGACAAGAACTGTCTGCTGGGGTGGCTGTGACATGGTCTGTCTTTGGAGATTCATTTCCTTTCTCAGGCTGATTCTGAGAGTTTGTGGGCACAGCACTCTAGGAAAGTGCCATCTCCCTGCCTG